CATATTTGGGAGGGCAGGAATAGGCTGTGGCAGGAAAATCAAAGTCCTACTTGGCCCATTCCCAGGTAAAGAATTCCAGTTGGTCATACACAGGAGTTGTTTAATGAATGGAGCAGAGCTGGAAACCTAAGTTTGGGATCATCATAACACAGATAACACAAGAAGTCAAGGCCTGGATGAGACAGCAGAGAGGACCAGTGGCCTCGACACTCAGATGCATAGAAGTCAAGCCAAAGGAGAGTTGGAAGAGGAAGCTGAAGGGAGAGCCTTAGAGAAGCTGGTGTTTCAGGAAGGCAGATGATGGGCAAATGATGCAGAGAGGATGTGTAATGAAAGTTCAGGAGAGTAATCATTAGTAATTGGAAGTATGAGGTCACAGATGAGCCTTGACAATAGATACTCTACTTGAATAGCAGACAGAGTTCTGATGGAGGGTGTGAGAAAAAACAGGCAGTGAGGTAATAGATAAAAGAATACAGACACTTTTTTTAAAAAATAAAAATTCTGCTATAAATAGAAACAGAAACGGCAGGAGGATGAAAGGGAGTTTCTGTTGGTGTCAAGAGTTCTAATTTTCGAATTCAGTAAGATGGGAAATACTAGAGTATATTTGTATGCCGATAGCAATAGAACTGTAAAGGATAAAGGTGGTGTCAGAAAGTAACAGAAGAGGGGATTTTTCTTCAAGCAATGGGAGGAAATGGACCCCATCTAGAGTGCAAACAAGCATGCTATTTATTATGATAAGAGGTGACAACAAGGTTCTTCCTTATGGTAGAATAGAAGAAAGGAGTATACCAGAATCTTTTACTCAATAAAATACGACTTTGAGTGTGATTTTGAGTATTCATATACACACATGCATGTGTAGAGTGGTTGTGGGCACTAGAAAAAAAAAGGGAGAATTGTAAAATAACTGTTTTGGGGAGTGGGAGAGTGAACATTCTTGGGAATAATTGTCAGTATTGAGTGTTCCTCGGAGAATTGTTGTGATGAATTTCGAGCGAAATCAATCAGCATAACAGGGAGGTGATATCAAAGTCAATAAAATACTCCCTGCCACCCAGAAATCTAGTCGAGGAGGTAGATAAAAAGAAATATAGATGAAAAGAAGTATTTGCTATGAAAGACGGAAGCCCCTGATGACAGACAGTTAGTGCAGGGAGGCAGTGATTCTGTGGGTCTGAGGGGATGAGGCGAGAGGCGGAAGTGTTGACTTTGAACAGGAGGTTGGTGCAAACAGGCACACAGGTGTGGCGAGGGTAGGAAAACAGATCAAGAGAATAGGAGACTTCAAGGGGCCGGGGTCTCAGAAGATCACAAAGGAAACCTGTGAAGAGCATGAAATTAGCAGAATAGAGAAGTGGCCACCACTGCTATCTTGGGTGATTTTAAGTTCTAAGAGGTTGCCACATATAGATTTAATATGAAGACTGTTGTATTTGAAGAAGACTTGGTAAGTACAGAAATAAGTACAGCTGATGGGAAGATCCTGCCCCAGGGTAAAATGATGAACCTTATTGCTCAATAGGCCTCCCATTTTTATACAGAAACACTGCATAAAATACACATCAACTTAAGGCAATACAAAGCCAAGAGTAAACCGAAGGAATGGATAATCTCCAGATTCTAAAATAAATAATAATATTTTACACCCAAGATATGGAACCAGAAGTTAGTGCAGGAAGTTCTGTGTGGGATTTGGGGTTGTTAATTAAGGATAGCCTGTGTGACCTTGGAATTGACGGAGATGAGAAAGCTGGAACTGAAGTCCCACATTAAGCTGGGAACCTTGAAGAGCTGCTTCACCTGAGAATGGAGACCAAGAATAAAGAACCCATCTGCTGGACAAGTGGAAAGGAAGCTGAAACCTCTCTCTGGCCAGGCACCATGGTGGGGCCTGGGTTTCATCGCTTAAATGAGACATTCACTTCAAAGTGGGAAATGACCTATAATCACTCAGCCTGTACTTACTGGTCAAGCTCCCTGTTTGCTTCTCCTGGACTTTACTAGGTAGGATGTAGAGTTAAATTCTTCTTCACTCACTAGGTTGTTGGGGGATTTCCCTGCTCACCTGCCTAAAACAACTTTTCTGTTCTTCAATTGTTAAAATGCAAAGTTCTGTAAAACCGTGCTTAATCACTACAAACTGCAAAGTTTAAATTGTGGCTTAAGAGTTTCCCCAAAAAACTTCATCAATTCATGACTGTTAATGCTAAACAAGATGTAACTGCACAGAAAAAAAGAGTTATAAAAAAACAAAGTGGGAAATGAACACACAAGTAGACATTGAGACATCGAGAGTCAATGCAAAACTTCCCAAACAGAAACTCATGGAAATCCACACCTCAGTATAATCAATCACTAAACACAATCTGGTAGTTTTAAAAACCAACCAAACCAACCTCATAAACTGTACAAAGGAGAGTGTCCAGATGCAGATGTAGTCAAAGCCAGGATAAGGAAACAGTAAAAGAACATGACTCCGAAATGCAGTTTAAAATGACTCAAAGATTAAGGGAAGTCAAGTCTACAGTGAAAACAGACAACAGGGAAGAAGAGAGATATCTGAAAATGCACCTTCGCTTTATTTCTAAAAACTAAAGCAACTGGAAAGAAAAGTGTCTAGCATTTACGTTTTATAGCAGACTGGACACAGAGAAAGAGAGAGGGGATTTGGGAGACAAATTGAGGACATAATCCATAGGATAGACTGAAAGAAACAGTGGTGGAACTGTGAGGCCAACATCAGTCTAATAAAAATACCGTGCAGGAATCAAAACAGTAACAGCAATGCAAGTAACTTCACTGAGTGCTTACTGTGTCCAAGTGTTTTATGTTTCAATAAGTCTTTATAAAATCCAAAGGGAGCGACGCTGTGATTGTCCCCATTGGCAGCAGAGGAAATAAAAGGACTGAGCATGAGCTGATAGTCAAAGAAATAACAGATGAAAGTTTTGCAGGATTCAAGAAGGCCACTGGATTTAAGGAGCACATCAACCAGAGGAAAAGATAAGCTCAAACTTTCTCTTTCTTAGCTCCAGGCTAAGAAAGGTGCCAGAAACCAGGGTTTGGCTGTGGTGATAGAGTGGAGTCAGAAGGATGAAGCCACAACTCTGCATCTTTGTTTCCACAGTTTTGGGGTAGAAGCAGCTCTGTCCTAACCAGGCCTTACTTCAGGGTCTGTCCTTCAGGCTCAAATGAACATGGACCGTAGCAGGTGATCCGCCAAAGCTTAAGAAGCAAAATCCAGGAGGTATATCGGAAAGCCGTGCTTGACTAGAGCTGGCCAGTCAGTTCAGCCACATCACCACACCCTGTCGCCTCTCTGTTGGAACAGTGTGGTCTGTGCTCTAATCAGGAAGGCAGCACCAGGTATCAGATCACCCACATCACAAATGAGCCACAGAGCCTCATCATTCATCCAATACCACAACTACTACTGCAGGCTTTCTTGGGATTCAGCCTGCTCCAGCCCAAACAAGCACAATTCCCAGCACCCCACAGCTGGCTTCCACTGTGGCCTGAACATTCTATGGTGAAGCAAACAATGTCCAGCTTTGGAGCTTCCTCTAGTTAGACTCGGCCCAAATCAATCTGAGGTTACACTCACTCCCTGGGCATTGTTACTCTTCCATCACGGACGAATTAAACCCAAAACATGATGCCGCTTGATGGGGTAACAGAGCCATGGTGGACGTTGCATTTTGTCCATGTCAAGAGACATGCAGCTAAATCAAAGCAGCCCCTTCCATTGACTTTAACTCTCTAAGCCATTTGTTACTGCACTTTGCCAGGGTACAGATGGTTGTTGGAAGCCCCGAGATATTTTATTTGTTTCTCATCCTTCATTGGCTGCTAAAGATACAACAAGCTACCAGGGAAAAGACCAGGACGTCACCAACTGTCAACTGTTTCGTTAATCTAGCCTATGTCAAAATGGCAATAGCGGGACAGCAGGATGCTGCAGGCATTTTCAGAGAAGTTCCTATCAGCCATTAGCTGTGTTTCTCTGCTGCTTTTGGCCACAGTTTAACTAAAGATGAACATTTTTTAAAGCCACAATTGCAAGTCAGACAGTTCTTAAGAATATACTACTTGGTAAGCACAAAAGCCCCTGTTTGGGAAGAGCAACCAATTAAGCAAGTTCTTATTTCAAGAGTTCAAGATTCAGAGCCAGTCAAGATGAGATTTCCCCAAAGAAGCGACTAATCTTTAAGTGGCTCTGCAGAGAGTGGCTCTGCTGTGTAGCAAGAACACTTGTAAATAAGCACTCCTTAATACTTAATTATCTCTAATGGTGAGTGCTGTGAAATCTAAAATTTCAAACGCAATAGTACAGATTAATTTCGGTCCACGCTGACTTAGGAGTGGCCTCATACCACTTCTGAGAAGAACCGAGGCTGCTGTCCCATGCATAGTTCATTAAATTGCCACACAACTGAGGGAACGACCATCATCCAGGTGGAGGGACAGGGAGGAGCATCAGCTGTAATTGCTGCTGGAGTGTTTGGTCAAGTATCTATTTTTGATACCAACATAGCAATGTTTGGACTCAGCTGATGTTTCTAAGTTAGATCATTAAAAGTGTTCATTGCTTCAGACGACCCACTCCAAAAATTTATTTTTTAATGAATAATAAAAGTTGAAAAAAATACACCCTACTGAATCCCGGGAGAAGAAAGTAATTTCTCTAGACTTCTTCATTTTCACAAATTCAGCAATTATGAAGTAGCTGAAGCAGAAAACACATGTTTTCTGACAGTTTTCTCTGTTTTTCTTCACAATTTTTCTTGAGGAAACACCAACCACACACCTAGTGAAACCTCTGAGCCACCATTCATCAGCCTTTCCAGCTTATGGGAGTAGTTGCCACACCGTCTTCCGCAAGATAACGCGATGTTGGTGTAATTAACTCACATACCCAGCATCGGCACCCGAACCCTGTTTCAGAAACAAGACCAGCGCCGCATCCAAGGGACAGCCCTTGCTGTACTCACCGACCCCGTTCCAGTTTGAAGGATTTTCAGTCCTGAGGTTTGTTCCAGCTTGTCTTTGTGGTCAGCTGTTAGAGAAGATAAGAAGTGTAGGGTTTAGCTTGGAGAAGGGATGGGACTCAAGTCACACCTGGGTATTTTCCAGCAACTGAAAAATAATTCCACTTCATCACTACCTGGATCATCCAATGGAACCGAGCTGTGGTGGTGGCCTTCGCAAGCCTGAACACAAGGTCCTGCTCTCTGCTGACTGGCTGCGCTACTCAGGAAGGCACCACCGTGTGCTTTTGCCCTCCGCCGTGCCATGATGTCAGACCAGGACATTCACAGAACTGATGAGAAATTGTGAATATGACACTCTCTAAACTGTAAAGCCTTATTTTCAAATGACATATAGGTTGCTAATTATATAATTATCAGGAAATATGTTTCATTGGGTAACATTATTAAAAAAAAAGAACTCCCTTGAAGGCAAAGCTGAACGTGCGTATTTATGATATTAATGCTGGGAGCTGTTTTTCCCCTTTATTCAAGTCCCTCCAAGAAACATTCTATAATAATTTAGCACCAATAAAAGCCTAATTCATTCTAGTGTGCACCCGGCTCAGAATGAGGAAAACTTTCAGAGAATGAATTATACTCGGCATCATACCATGAGAAATGAGCTTTGGAAACAATTAGCAGATGTAAATGAAAACTCAGTCATTCTAATGCCAACAGCAGCAAGCCCACCTGCCCCCACTTCACCGAGAGGAAGTGTGTCACGAGGCAATTGACCTTGGCTTATGCTTTGGTAGAGATATTCTTTTGGATAAAGCCTCTGTCACTTTGGAAATGAAAACAGAAAAAAAAATTTATTGCAAACCCCATGAATAAAGAGTGCATTGCAATTGTGATTAATACAGAATGAGATAGCAAGAAAATAGCAATTACTTTCACCTCTTATTGTAATACACCTGCATTAATCCTCAATAATGAAATTATATCTTTTACAGGATACAAATGAGATCCTGTTGTAGGCTTCCCTCCCCATCTTAGGGTCTTTTCATTGTCTTACATAAAGTTTGTTCTTTGAACAAATGAACTAATTTTACACATAGATAATCATTCACTGCATTGCAAGAATGAGGCCAGCATAAAATAATCTGGGTGATTAAAAGTACATCAAGTTACCATAGGATTGGGTGTGGATGCAGGAGGAGGGTAAATGGTGATTTGCGAATGTACAACTTAAACACCAAGATTCATTTCCTAAATCATGGCCAGCCTGTAGTTCTGGGCCAGTCTGAAGCCAGGAGCCTGAAACTCCATCTGGGTTCCTGACTTGGGTAGCAGGGTCCTAAGCACTGGGCCATCTACCGGCTTCCCAGGCTTGTAAGCAGGGAGCTGGATCACAAGTGAGGTAACTGGGATTCAAAATGACATGCTGATATGAGATGCCAGAGTACAAGTGGCAGTTCATTGGACCACAATGCCCACCCCAAGAGAACACCACTTAAATACATTATTTACGAAACAATCAAGTTTAATGTTTCGCTTGGAACAAAGAAAATATACTATTACTTTGAGATAGAAAAACATGTAGCAAATACTTTTAAACAGACCAAGGAACAGAAAGTTCTTAACAAAAGAGTACTTCATTTGTTGACAACCAAGAGTAGCATGTTTCAGGTTGAAGAATGACAAAAGAAGCCTGACCATGAATAATTTAGAGTAATCAGATAGAAAGGTCAGCAGAAATTTTCTAGAAGGCCAGATAGTGTTTGAGGCTTGGCAGTAACTTTGTCCTGCTCTGTGGTGTGGAGGAAACTTTGGTACTCCCTGTGTGGATGGATGCAGCCACATACCAATAAAACCGTGTGTACACATGCAGGTGGCACCACCTCACATCTTCTGGAAAGAGTGACCACTATGTGAACAGTTGATTGGAGGACCCTGCAGACTATCAGAAGTGCCTTGCTACCATAACACCACTGGTCCTGCAGATGTTGGTATTGTGGGAAACCACAGATGTGGGAGAGCTGGGAGTTGGCTTGGAGCGTGATTGCACTTTAGAAAGTCTTTGACCAAATTACTGTTAGAATTACCCTTGAAAGCATGTGTAAAGAGTGGATGGATGAATAAGAAAGCGCTTACTCAACAAATACAAAACAATTCTACGCAACTGCAAGGCAGTGGTTGTGGTTTGGTTGGCTACCTCTTTGCCATTTGGTGCCCAATGCCACAGGAAAGGGCATGAAACAAACACCGCCCTTAGTGCATGCTCAATGCTACCTTTCTCCTGTGCCACTTGTCAGGCTCCACTCATTTTCCTTTCATGGGGTCTGGAGTTGTTTGGGCCTTACGCATGAGCATTTGTTTTCCAGCAGCCCTGGCCAGCATGTCTCTCGGGGCTGCCTGACAACCTGCTCAGAAGTGCCCTGACCTTTTCTCAGTTTGGCTGGCCCATTCAAAACCATCAGGAAGAGGGGCAAACTGAACCATGTAAATCGGTGTGTTGTTTCAGAGCATGATGCGCTTTAAAACAGTAATGAACTGCTTCGTTCCTAAAATAATCCAAGAACCCAAGACACAAGACTTAAGTCCAAATCTAAATAAAAAACATTTAAGAAGTAGGATTGACGGCTACTAAGTACCCACTACTTGCCAATCACTGATGCGGTCACTGTTTGTAATTCAGCCTATTCCCTGATTAAAGTCACATAGCCTGTGTATTCCATTATTTCCACTCAAGAAGTGGAGACGCACAGTGGTGTTACTGCTCAGAGTCTGAAATCCCGGATCTGAACCAGTGTGATTTGGGCCTTCGAGTAACCAAGACCAGGGGTTGTAAGGAGAGGCGCTCACAGCTGGAGCTTCTGCTGGGGAATGTGCTTCTCTGCTCTGTGCTTCTACCCACGAAACCCAAGGGCTGGGGAGAAAACGACAAGAATCTCCTTTCAAAGGTTTGTTCTTAGGATCAGAACGCAGTACTCTAGGGTCAAAATTCAAAAAGAAGTGGATAGGTGAAGCAGGGCTTAGTTGAGGTCTGAAGACACACTTCCTAGGAAACCCTGGACTGACAGTAGAGTCTCATAGAGGTGTGGCAAAGCCACTAGGTGGAAGCTAAAGAAGGCCATCGGATGGAGGTGGGATGGGGCCACCAGGTGGACATCGGACAGGGCCACCAGGTGGAGGTGGGATGGAGCCACCAGGTGGAGGTGGGACGGAGCCACCAGGTAGACGTGGGACAGGACCACCAGGTAAAGATGGGACAGGGATACCAGAAGAAGGTGGGATGGAGTCACCAGAAGCAGGTGGGACATCAGCAGGGATAAAGCAATAGCATAGCTTCCAGGCAGCCCCTCATCCACAGGAACTGGTTTCTTTTCAAACGCCCCTCAGATGGTTCAGACCAAGGCTCTGCATCCATTTTCCCAAGCACGATTTACAACCATGTGGACAGGCGAGAGGCTCTGTGCTCCCTGCAGCACAGCAGGACCAGAGCAAGCCCTGCAGCCACAGCTGTCCTGGCCTACATCTCTGCTCTCCTGCAGCCATCAACACCACACACCAAAAGATTCCACTCTTCTAGAACTATCTGTTTCTTATCTGCTGCCTCCGTGATGAGCCAGGGCCTCTGTGTTCCTCATGGGGTCTGCAGTACATTATGTTGCTTTGTCATTAGCCGTTCGTTTCTACTCTTAGAGTTACTGTTTTCAAGCCTTGCATAGCTAGGAGAGCTGTCTCCTCTTTGTACCAACATCCTTCCATTTAATGCTTGCAAATATTTTGTAAAGTTGAACTAGAACTTTTTTCCTAAAGGAGATGGAATACAGCCACATATGCACCCAATAAGTAGTTACTAATTAATATTAATCACTATTATTTTGAGAAAGATTTATTTTCTATTTGAAAGGCAGAATTTACAGAGAGGGAAGGTGAGGGGTGAGAGAAAGAGAGTGAGAGAGAGAGAATGAGTCTTCCATCCATTGCTTCATTCCCCAAACCATTACATTGGCCTGAGCTGAGCCAGTCTGAAGCCAGGAGCTAGGAACTTCTTCCAGGACCCCCACATGGGTGGGTGGCAGGGGCCCAAGGACTTGGGCTATCTTTTGTGATAGGCCAAGAGCTGAATCAGAAAAGGAGCAGACAGGACATAAACCAGCATCCATATGGGATGTCAGCGCGAGCAGGTGGAGGATTAACCTGATATGACATGGCCCTTGCCCCAGCCGTTATTCTCTAATCTTCATCAGTCACTGCTCACTTATAGAGGAGTAACTTCAGCGCAGGCTAAGAACAAGCATCTCAAGCCAGAATCCCATTGAGTCAGATTTGAGTCAGGGAGTTCTGCTTACCAGTCAGTGATCTTAAAGCAGTTTACTTAATCTCACACTGCCTCAGTTTACCCTTCTAAAATACCGATTCTCAACATCTGCTTTGTAAGCGGCTGTGAAGCCTGGGTGAGAGGCCTGTGTGTCTCACACAACACAGAGCTTGGCACACAGCAAGATTCAGTGTTGTACCAGATCTCCATGGCAGCCAGACCACTTAGCTCTCAAGCAGAGTGCACAGTCTGGTCACTTCTCTGAAGCGGTGTGTGAGCCTCGAAAGATTCTGGAATTTTCCCAGACTTTCGTCTTCCACACTCAGTGTTGTAACATGTTTCCTAGAAAGCCACATGGATTTCCTTTCATATAGCCTTTCTGTTCAAAGGAGCTGTGATGGAGTGGTGCCTGACCAGGCTCTCAGAAATTCCTTTCATGGGAGCCTGCCCCCTCTCCTTGGAGTATGGGGTAAACAGCATTCCACGTCCAGCAGTCTTAGGGAATGACTTTGAGGGGCAGAGAGGGGGCAGAAAACTCCTTTCAGCTGGAGGTTCAGTCACATTTCAGTTGCCAGTTCTTTTTCTTTTTTAAAAAAAAAGCCAATTTCTGGACTTTCTGAGTTGATGTATCTGCGAGCTGGCCAGCAGGCCAAGCTGCGGAGACAGTGGGAGGAGCCACTTTAACAGAGGCACAGAACAACACAGAGAGCCCGGTTTTTATCTTCATGGGAGACAAAAAAGGTTTCCAAACACAAGGAA